TATCTCATTTTTGACCAAGATGGCTTTTAGAGGCTTTTGCATTGGAACTCTTCATATATATATATATATATATATATATTAGAATATAATATAATATTTTTATATATAAAATAGTAACATATGTTTCACATGCTTTCAAAAGCTTTTTGTTGTTCAGTTTGGCTCCTGACTTCTTTTAGTGTTAGATATTGAGGTGTAACACTGAGCCGGTGTCCTGCCCTCTTAGCACATTAATCAAATTGCAGTCTCTTTATCTCTTTAAATAAGTGTTCATTTATCATTCACGACAGCCTAGATTACCAGAAATAATTGTTTCACAATATTAATGTTTTTACTGTATTTTGATCAAACAAATGTAGCCTTGGTAAGCATAAGAAACTTCTTTCAAAAAATGGTAAAACCCCAAACATTACAAGTTTCTCTATATAAGGGTCACTCACTATAAATATTTATATATATATATATATTAATCTTTCAGTCAGCTGTCTTGCCTCATATAGTGCCTCTCCCATAGAACGTGTGTTGGTTCCTGTAGGTTTGCATGATCTTATGTGATTGTGTGGGTGTCCCTCCTTTGAATGACTGATTTATAATCTGACTCATTCTGAGCCTTAATATGTGTTTGTCAGGATATAGCTGTCTGATATTTGTGCATTTCTTTGGTCTGTAATATAAGGATGTACCTTCCCCAGGAAGTTATTAGCCTAGTGCATTAAAATGTTCTTTGCCAGAGTGAAGGTTTTCAATGAAAATGTGCCAGTGGAGAATCATTGTTTCAATTTCAGCAGCGGTGAAGCACAGCATGCCCCAATGAACCCTCAACCTACTCATCCTAAACAATGTATGTTTTCAATCAATAACCCCAACATCCCTCCCCTCGGTCGGCCCTCGCTCACACCCCTTGCCTCAACACCATCTCAAAGCGCTCCTCCTCGGTGTTAATATTGTATAGTGGCTGATGCACAATGCATGTTACAGCACACGGGAATTTTGAGAATCCATAATTCATTGTCAGAGGCTTGTGGGTCGGCGGCTTGAGAAAGAAAAAAATGGCTTCCACATATAGGACGCCATTGATTAATGTGGCCTTCACACTTTATATTTTACTCCTTTTCTCACTGTTTTGTCAGGCTGTACGTTACCATTCAAATGTGTGAGGTTGGTAAGATTATATAACTACATAACTACATTAATTTACTACATTGCATGAGCTAACAATGAAAAATACTTCTGAATGTTAATGTTAATTTCAACATTTATTAAATGTTGCATTATTGAAATCAATTTTTCTGTTATTTATGGGGCCCAGGCTAACTAACAATGTACAGTTGTATTTTATTAACAGACATTTACAAGATTAATAAATACTGTAACAAATGTATTGCTCATTGTTAATGTTAGCTAATGCATTAACTAAAGTTAAGTCATGGGACTTTATTGTAAAAGGTAAGCAATTTTTAGATAGGTCTCATATGCTTACCAAGGCTGCATTTATTTGATCAGAAATACAGTAAAAATAGCAATATTTCTATTTTTATGCTATTTCAATATATTTTAAAACTTAATTTATTCCCGTTATGGCAAAGCTACATTTTCATCAGCCATTTTTCCAGTCACATGATTTTTCAGAAATCATTCTAGTATGCTGGTTTTCTGCTCAAGAAACATTTATTTTATTATTATAATTATTTTATTATTATCAATGGTGAAAACTGTTATACATTTTTTAAAGATTATTTGATTAATATAAAGTTCAAAAGAGCAGCATTTTGAAATATAAATCTTTTGTACTTTATAAGTGTCTTTACTGTCCCTTTTAATCAATTTAATGTATTCCTGCTGAATAAAAGTATTAATTTCTTACAAAAAAAAATACTGACTTAAACAGTGGCCTTATAAACAGTAGTGTATGTAGGTTTCTATGATTTTCACCTGTTTTATGATAAAATGGGAAAAACATCTAGGAACCAGAATATTAGAGACTTGGGAGTGGCCTCTTTTGACTTGAGCCAGTAACCAATCACATTGCCACTTTATACACTCTGTAGACATGTGCCACAAACCCATGCACAACACCCAAGTATGATGGTTCACTGTCTACCATGTCATCTCTTCATCTATTTTTCATGTCTCCCTTTCCAATACGCTAATGATAAGCCGCAGTCTCAATGTGTCAAGCAACCACTAGATTTGGTTCCCTCACATAAGGATGCTCCATTCATCCTTGAGATTTTTAGGCATCTTTTGGGAGACAACCATAAATCAATAAAATGAATTCAAGCACATCCTCATGGGGACACATAGCTGAGCTGGAGACGAGCAGACAGACACAAAAAGAGTCTGTGAAATAGGAAATGGGCTGTTTTGTGCAGAAGATTGTACAGTCATATCTCATGAAGTCTTTGCGTTTAATCAAGCCACGTTAGATAAGAGTAATTACGGTGCAGCAAAGCTTTCCCATTACTATCCTTTTCATCGGTGCTTTAACACCTCTGCTCCGTTCACCACATCCTCTTTCGCTGTCGTCTGCATAGGCTCTCTTTCAGAGGGAGGCTGGTTAATTTGTCCCTGTCGGTTTGAGGAGGAACACAGCTGTTTCTGGTTGTGTGGTTTGCTTGTGCTTGTGGCCCCAGGTGTTAGGTGTGGGTTTGTGTTGCTGTGTGTGAGATTGTGTACATGTATTCTGAGGTGTTAAATCATTAATGGTTTTGGTCGAAGGCTGTGACTGTGGTGAGTTTTAGGTAAACAGATTTTTTTCAGATAACCAAGACTGCCCTGAGGTTTATGTACAGTTTCAAGGTTTTTCTAATGCTCTCTTTGAGTTTGTATGTTTTTACAGCATTTTTACATATGACGTTTCTGTGGAATATACTTCCTTCAGGCAGGCCCTCTCTGATAGTCATTCCCCCTCCGCAGCTGGTGTCTCCTAATGCTGATTTCACAATCACACATGTGCTGCCGTCACAGCCTCCCGGGACGTTCCTATGTGCGTCATTTTGGTTGTAATGAAATGAACACAGATTTGTATTCCTTTTTTTTTTCACTTCCAGTCAAAGACAGAAAACTTTTATAGTGATTGTGAAACAAGACAGCAAAGGAGGTGCGT